TAGGTACACCAATGTCACATACATACACTATATAACATATAATCACACGCATAGAGCACATACAATCACAGAGACACAGCCACACAGTTATCTGTTTTGCTTCTGGATTTTGGGAATTTTCCCTGTCTAAAAAATATTGCATTCTTCATCTATTAATTCTAACCAGTATGGTTTATGGTTTTCTTTTTCCCCCCAATAGAGTTAAGAGAAAAAACTATTCATTATATTGATTGCTTGGACTAGAATATTAAAAAAAAAAAAAAAAGAAGAAGAAGAAAATATATACTAAAATATATTTTAATGCTGCAGATGCAAATAGTTATATGGCTTTTAATAGTTGCAATTATAGAAGATGCTTGGAGAATATCACTGAGTCACATAGCTAGAATAAACAGAGATACAGCCGATACAGAAATAGAGAAGATTTTAAAATACAAAGTGATACGATTTATAAACAAAAAATTGCATAAAGGGTATTCAAATAGATTGAATTAGTAAAGTATAAAATGAAATGGATAGCATAGATAGAAGATAGTTTCTATAAATGAAAACTATTGATAAGAAAGGTTATTTTTTTTAAAAAAGTTAAACTTGCACTTTAATGAAATAAAAATAGTAACACTGTTCACATATAAAGTACCTCAACGAGCTGGGTTACTTTGTGTGTTTGAGGTGTTCCTTTAAAATGAAGTGATATTAGAAAAGTTGATTAGGGGTTAACTTAGAAAAGATTGTTAGAGATGAATCCCGTCAGCTTTTTCCAGTGCATATTTGGCCAACCACTGTCATGATGAGAATGGGATAGTGCCCTGCAGTGTGAATCTCACATGGCTAAGTCTACATGTGATAACATAATGTTTTCAGAAGGGAAACATACACATCAGATATCTCTGAAGTGGGCTCTGGTCCTATTAACCATTGTTTCCAAAGGAAACTGAATTGCAGTCAACACCTATTATTACGATTTATATAGCGCCAACAGATTCCGTAGCGCTTTACAGTATTAGAGGGAGGATTTGCCTATGAATAGGACAATTACAAGAAAACTTACAGAAACGAAGTGTTGAAGAGGGCCCTGCTCAAACGAGCTTACAGTCTATATGAAGTGGGGTATAAAACACATTGAGGACAGGGAATAGAAGTCAAATTAGGTGGGAGTGGAGCAGAGTTGGAGGAGAGAGTAAAGTGCTGCCCTTTAGGAGAGAGCAAGAGGCAGGTATGTGAGGTAGAGGTTAGTCTGGGAGGCCATTGGCTTTCCTAAAGAAATTTGTTTTAGGCATTTCTTAAATGATTGAAGACTAGGGGAGAGTCTGATGGCGGTAGGCAGGCTATTCCATAGGACGGGAGCCGCCCGCGAAAAGTCCTGCAAGTGTGAGTTGGCCGTATGGGTACGAGCAGCAGACAAAAGAACGTCACGGGCGGAGAGACCGAGAAGGGGCATACCTATGGATCTGTGAGGAGATATAAGAGGGGCTAAGATTGTTCAGTGCTGTATAGGTATGGGTTAGCACTTTGAATTGACTCCTATAGGATACAGGAAACCACTGTAAGGACTGACAGAGGGGTGAGGTGTGACAGGACTGACTAGAGAGGAAAATCAGTCTGGCGGCAGCATTCATTACAGACTGCAGCTGGGCAATGTGGCTATTGGGAAGACCAATTACCGTGTTTTCCCAAAAATACACCCTACCCCGAAAATAAGACCTAGCTGGATTATCGGGGTGGGCTGCAATATAAGCCCTACCCCGAAAATAAGACCTAGGCAGGGCCGGCGGCTGCCGGCCCTTTAAATGCCACAGCCGACTGAGCGCTCTATAGAGAGCGCTCAGACGGCTGCCGCACTGCCTCACCTCCCCCTCCCTGTAGCGTGGCCGAGCTCCTCTCCGGTCCGCGACCCGGCAAGACTGACAGGAAGTGCACACTGGGTGTGCACTTCCTGTCAGTCCGGCCGGGTTGCAGACCGGAGAGGAGCTCGGCCACGCTACAGGGAAGAGCAGGTGAGGAGAAGATTTGAGGGGGGGGAGGGAGAATATTACAGGGAAGGAGGGGGGAGAGTATTACAGGGAGGGAGGGGGGAGAGTATTACAGGGAGGGAGGGGGGATAATATTACAGGGAGGGAGGGGGGAGAGTATTACAGGGAGGGAGGGAGGGGAGAATATTACAGGGAGGGG